ATCAGCTGGCTGATGTCTTTACAAAACCGTTACCTGCTGTTCTTCTTTTTCCTCTTCTTTCCAAGATGGCTATACTAAATTTGCATAGTCCATCTTGAGGGGGAGTATCAGGAATTGAGCTGCCAGCTGCCATTTGTTATTTCATATCTTGGCGCCACTTTTATAGAATCTTAATTAGTTAGTTAGTTACTTGCTTAGCTGGTAGTTTACAGCTGTCCTTGCTAGCCAATTGTATTTATCTAGACCTGTTTATCTCTTGTATCGTGTAAGTCATTTTTCTTCAATAATAGATTCTCTTTCCTTCAATATAAGAAATGATAATTATTCCATTTATTTATTTTGATAATCTGGAAATGTGATTTGACCCAAAAAAAAAAAAAAAATTCCAAAATTTCCTTGCAAGCTACTGGCTAAACAATTTCAGTGTCCAAATATTTGGCCCATATAAGTCAGTCATCCCTAACATCCAGCCGGGTCTTTTCATCCAGTTTATGTTACAACTATAAAACCCAATTATTTCTTACGGTTCCAACCATTAAATTGGAAGGTCTGAATTGCAGAATTTCTAGAACTCAAATTCCTAAAGATTTCTAAACCAAAAAAAAAAAAAAACACTTAAAAAATTTCTTAAAAATCAAAACAGTAGACACAATCAAATATGGAAGTTTGGACTATCGAATTACCTCTAGCCATTGTCGACATGAAAGCTTTTCGGAACCAAAAACGTAGCTGTTGTTATAGACTCAGTCCGTCATCGATTCTTTCCCGTAATCGCAGGAATTATGAACTATTTACAGCAACTTCCAAATTGGCCAGACTTATTATTGGAAGTGCAAATCATTTATTAATGGAAAGTTTAGGCCACACACGGTTTTCCTTAATTAGAAATGGAAAATTTCTACATGCATATCTATTTGAATGTGGACAGAATATTGTCTAAAAATGACCTTTAAGATTCTTTAAGGATTTTCATTTTTATTTAAATGTTTGGAATTAATGACCCTCTGAAGCTCATATCTAATTCGTAAACTGTAAAGAAATAAGATAAAGGCCATATTCACTCGTATCTAATAGGATGAATGGGATGCTTGTAACTGTGACTGCGTATCGTTATTTTTAATTATCTGTCTTATGGTTTTGAAGATTTGTCGGAGGGCTGAAACGGTAGGAGGAATGAGAATTCTATTAAAGAAGGGAGGAGGGATCGGATTAGTGCCGTTGAAGGAATGCCCGAAGTGGCTGTCCGTGTCGTCTTCCAGTGTCAGGCTGACCATGAGGGCCCCTCAAATGTCAAGGATGCAGTTGGAACTGAAGAAGGGGTGGGGACGAAGAAGCGACGCTCAACGCACATCCGAGTATCATCAGTGTCAAACCGGACTCCCTACGCTAGGAGTGGACGGAGGAGAGTAAATAACAGTAAGCAGCAGGACTTTTTTTGAATGGTAAATCAATGTGAACCCTTTTTTTAACTTGAAATTTGTCATATTTTTAAGGTTTTTACGTTCATGTCTAGTTTTTATATGTATGGGAAAACACTTATGTCCATTTTCAGATATGTGTAGTGCTAGAACTTTATTGAAACTAGAATTTTATGATCTTGCCAATATCTTCATGTCAAATCATCAAAAAATTGAATTAACGTGGAACATACCTTAATCAATTAATTTCTGACTTGAATAATGAATTTTAAATCTGAATCTGTAAATCTTCAGTTTG